ACATCATTTTAATAAAGCAGGAAGCAGCTGCGAATTGCCATTTCAATTGACTTATGGTCAAAGATTTAGCGTATTCTTTGGCATATATCAAGGAATGTAGTAGCAACTTATCTTGAAAAACGGAAGATACCGTATCATACATTTTATAAGTTACTACATGTAACTGGAAATTGCAATCTTTCTTGTAAATCATAGAAATGGTTAAGATAAAATGTAATATATATGCATGAAGAGATATTTCAAACCACTCGCTTAAATTACATAAATGACGAACTGAAATTATAAGATCGTCAGTCTTAAGACTTCTTGAAGACGCACATTTATTTTTTTCTATTTTGAGCTAATCTTCCCTAAAACTGGATCATCCCACATTATTAATTATTTGTGAAAAGTAATCTAATCTAGATCTACTTCTACTACTCTTAACTCTTGTTTCTGCTTCTAATATCTTTCTCTAGCCCTTCATACATGAGAAGGTGTCCTATCTCGCCTATTTCTTATCGAATTCAATAGAGTCCTCTGTTCTCCTATTCTTTCTAATACCTCTTCATTTCGTTCTCTATCCACGGTATCCTCATTATTCGCCGGTAACACCACATTTCCAACGCTTCTAACCTTTTCTTTTCCGTCGCGCTCATCGTCCATGTTTCGCGCCCGTACAGAGCCGCTCTCCAAACATACACCTTTAACAATCTTTTCCGAATTTTTAAATTAACCGTTCGCGAGCATCGAAGTGACTTCTTTTTATTAAAGGCGATTTAACCCTGCGCTATCCTCTGCTTTATATCCCTACTACTCCTTCCGTCCTGGCTTATCTTACTTCCTAGATACCTAAAATTAGCCACTTCTTCTAATCACTCGTCTCATATCTTTATATTAGCTCTTTCCCGGTTTTTCTCCCTTGCACATACCAGTATTTTTGTTTTACTTTTATCCATCTTCATACAATGCTAAAATTAAAATGTAGCCGTTGACCTTATAGGAGAACAACAGAAGAATTGGACAAAAAATTTTGAAAAATGCTAAGACG